TCCTCCTCCTGGTCCTCCTCCTCCTCCTCCTCCTCCTCCTCGTTTTCCTCCTCCTCCTCCTCCTCCTCCTCCTCCTCCTCCTCCTGCTCCTCTCCTCCTCCTCCTCCTCCTCCTCCTCCTCCCGCAGAGGCGTCCCGGGAGCGGGCCCCGAGTCAAAATACCACCCCCCTAGGGCGCATTTTCCTCGAGCGGGCACGCCCGAGATGCACTTCTTCCTCTTCCGGGAGCACGTCCCAAGTCAGAATATCACACTCCCGGGGCGCACTTTCTTCGAGCGGGCACACAAAGGATGCACTTCCTCCTCCTCCTCCTCCTCCTCCTCCTCCTTCTCCTCCTCCCTCCTTCCTCCTCCTCCTCCTCCTCCTCCTCCTCCTCTCCTCCTCCTTCTCCTCCCTCCTCCTCCTCCTCTCCTCCTCCTTCTACTCCTCCTCCTCATCCTCCTTCTCCTCCTCCTCCTTCTCCTCCTCCTCCCCCTCCTCCTCCTCCTCCTCCTCATCATCATCATCATCATCCTCCTCATCCTCCGCTTCCTCCCCCCACTCCTAGCCCTTTCGATCCGGGTCGGCGGCACCCGCCGTCAGGCCTCTCCAATATGATTAGTAGTAGTACCATTCTTATCCTTAGCATGATTAGTATTGGTATGATTGATATTGTTCGTCTTTTTAATATTATACGTGCTTCTTCTTCTCAACAATACTATCAATATTATCATGATCGTCCTCCTCCTTATCCTCCTCCTCCTCATCCTCCTCCTCCTCCTCCGCCTGATCCTGAGTATCCTCCCTCTCCTCCTGATCCTCATCATGCTCCCTCTCCTCCCCCTCCTCCGCCACCTCCCCCGCCTCCTCATCCTCATCATCATCATCCTCCTCCTCCATCCCTTTTCCTTCTGAATAACTACTCCCTGTCGCACCCCGAGGCGTGTTGGTAGGGCGGGCAGGGCGGTTCGCCTGAGAATTCCTCACCATTCATGATGATGAAGCGTGAATGCTGCAATACATGGATAGAGGGCGGGTCGTGTTCAAATGTGGCTCTCGCAACAGCGCCGCGCATGTTCGTCTTAAAATGTTGCAAGAATTTCACGGATGGATGGCGGGCCGTTTTCGAAATGTGGCTCTCGCCCTAGCGAGCGCCGCGCACAAGCTTCACGGATGGAGGGCGGTTCCTTTTCAAAATGCGGCTCTCGCCCTAGCGCCGCGCACATTCGTTTTAAAGTTTACAGCAGTTTCAAGAAGTCTCAGTTCTCCCATAATCGGACCGATGACAATGCCAATGACAATCAGTGAATGGCCGCTGCAACTCGACTGAGCATCAAATCTGCTTTCACCTATGGGGGCTTTCCCCAGATAAGCACGGCCAAGTAGACATCACCACAATCAGGGAGAGCAGACGGCGGAGGAGGAGGAGAAGGAGGAGGACGAGGACGAGGAAGAGGACAAGGACAAGGACGAGGAAGAGGAAGAGAGGGCAACGTGGTTGTCAAAAACGGCTGTCACGCGCGTCGACTGCTTGACCTCCTGGTCGATGCCAGAAGAAAACACTGGTCACAAGGAGAGGAGGGGGGACGGGAGGAGGAAGAGGGGGAGGAACTGACAGAAGCCTCCAGCGAGCTGGGAATATCAAACGCACCAGCTCAGGATACGTAGGCGTGCAAATTGAAACATCAGAAAAACATGGTCGACCCACGAACCCAGAAAGGAATATAGAAATGTAAGGCATGGCAACGCTTCAAAAACACCTGATTGGGCGACGGACAAATCCAATAATGAGTGTATCGATTTTGATGTACCGTACCGAGGGCTGTGCTGTGCTGCGCCGTGCTGAATTGCGATGTGCCATGCCGCGAGTGTGCTCTATAGCGTTGTGGATCGAGTCCTCCTTTGCATCCGAGTGCTGGCCGAACTGATCTGGATCTCAAGCTCGAGCTGCCTGGGCACATAGTCACTGCCCCAGAGCTAATTCACTGGGGGACATGCCAGGAGGACGCGCTGCGGAACGTCCCAAGAGACGCGCCACGCGACGTGCCAGGGGACGTGCCGTTGGGCACGCACCGCGGGACGTGCGAAGGGGGCGCGCTACGGAACGTGCCAATGGACGTGCCGCGGAACGTGCCAGGTGACGCGCCGCGCGACGTGCCAGGTAGACTCGCCACGGAATGCGCCAAGGAGCGCGCCAAGGTGCAATGTTCAGTGTATCGATCTTGATGTACCGTGCCGAAGGCTGTGCTGTGCTGGGCCGTGCTGAACTGCGATGTGCCATGCCGCGATTGTGCTATATATAGCGTTGTGGATCGAGTCCTCGTTGCCACTGAGTCCTGACCGATCTGATCTGGATCTTAAGCTCGAGTTGCCTGAGCAGATGGTAGCTGCCCCAGAGCTAATCGACAGACGTGACATGCCAGGAGGACGCGCCGCGGAACGTCCCAAGGGACGCGCCAGGCGACGTGCCAGGGGACGTGCCATGGGCACGCACCGCAGGACGCGCCAAGGGGACGCGCTACGTGCCAATGGACGTGCACCGCGCGACGTACCAGGTGGACTCGCCACGGGACGCTCCGCGGAACGTGCCAGGCAACATGCCAGGCTGCGATGTTAAGGGGATCGATATTGATGTACCGTGCCGAGGGCTGTGCTGTGCCTGGGCGACCTGGACACGTTTCGCTCAAGACGTTCTCAGCACATCCTCATGCTAGACATCCGCCTGGGCGACCTGGACACGTGAAAACAAGCGTCTCGATCGAGACTTCCTCGACACATCCTCATGCTAGACATCCGCCTGGGCGAACTGGACACGTGAAAACAAGCCTCTCGTTCGAGACATCCTCAACAAATCCTCATGCTCGACATCTGTCTGGGCAACCTGGAGGCGTGAAACCAAGCGTCTCGCTCGAGACATCCTCAAGACCTGGGCACGTGAAAACAAGCATTTCACTTGAGAGATCCTCTGAATTCAGGTCCTCGGGAGAGGACAATATGTAACACAAAACAAGCGTTTCGCTCGAGACATCCTCAACAAATTCTGAAAAAAAAGCGTTTCGCTCGAGACGTCCTCAAATTTTAATTCGCCGGCCCTACGCGACCTCGTGATTCATCGCAAAAGAAATTCGCCGGCCCTACAGCCGTGGGATTCAGGGGTAAACAGCTAAAAGAGAACCCTGGGCCCACGCCCTTTCCGGAAAAAAGCGCACCATGCCAGAGTGAAAACGCCCGCGGATGCCAACAGCTGGCCCAGCTTGCATTCATCGCGGAAGAGCGCATGAAAGCAACATGACCCTCGCTGCTCACGCGCAGGAAGGGAAAGGAAAGGAAAGCAAACGCGAACTTAACCAGCGAGCACCGCCAAAACGCGACGGTGGCCTGGGCAGAAGCGCACCCTGGTCGCCTGCACACCATCGCCGAGCGGGCGCCGCTGTCGGACGCGGGAGCGCGGGACAGGAGCGGCCCCTGGGCGGGGGGGCGGCTCAGTGCCTCGGGCAGCCGGCTCCTGCTGCCACGCCCTGGCCGCTCCAACGGCGGGCAGGCGCCAGTGAAACGCCGGGGTGCCCACGCACCCTGAGCCCGTGGCCTCCCCAGGAAAGAGCGCGGAAGGGGAGAGAGAGAGAGAGAGAGAGAGAGAGAGAGAGAGGAGACGGAAGGGGCAACAGAGAGAGAGAGAGACAAAGAGAGAGAGAGAGAGAACAAACAGAAAAAATGCCCCTCCAGGATGGGCAGGCATGTACCCCGAAATGCCAGGCCCTAAACCCCGATACGGGTTGCCAATAGCTCCGAATCGGCCCGCAGCCAGGAATGATTGTGAGACAAGAGGGCGGCAGAGAGAAGAACAACGAGAAGAAGAGAAGAGGCGAGGCGGTGATTCAAATGTAAACGCAACTCTGGATGTGAGCCCACCGTACCTCGGCCAACCGTTTCCGAGGCACGTAATGCAGCCGCCATGCACCCACCATGACTGGCTCAAACGTCACCCCAACGGGGGGCCGCAAGCCCAAGGGAGCAGGAGGGCGCCCCCGGCCAACGACGACAGCGACGAGACGACCACGACGACGGCACCGAGGGCGCCGGCGACGACCACGACGGCGACGACAAGGCCAACCGACGACGACGACGACGACGACGACGACGACGACGACGACGACGACGACGACGACGACGACGACACGACGACGGCAACGACCACGACGGGGGAGGAGAACGGGGAGAGAAGCGAGGGCAAGGGAGAGGAGGAGATGGAGGCTGAGGAGGGGGAAGAACGGTCCCTGCCCCCACAGGGCGTGTGGCCCCCAGGGGGAGGCGTGCGGCTACTGCCAATGAGCTGGTCTGTGGTTGACGTCGCAGGAATGGTGTCCCGGCACGATTTAGGATTGCCAGGGCGCGACAATCACAATAATTTTGTGGAGCGCAAGTCCCAGGAGTGGTGTCCCGGCACAAGTCAAAATCGACAGGACGCAACGGTAACGTCGTTGATTCGCGGCGCTGAGGTCCCATGAATGGTTCTTATGTCACGATTGAGGATTCTCAGAGGGTCATCTTCCGACGGGGCACTTCCCGCAGTATACAATAAGCTCCTGTAGAGACCTATGACGAGGGAACATGGAGGGAGGGCTTACATCTTGGGTTTACATTGGTCCTCCCCTTCCTACTTCTATTCCTCCTTTCTTTTCTTTCCCCGAGTGGTCCCCAGAAGGGTCTCCAAGGGTTTCCACAACGGCTGCGGAAATACCCATTCCAATGTGTTGACCAAGCTATAGCCCAACGATTGGCCACATCGGCTTTTCCAGAACAGCAGGGGCCGACGGTGACTGTTCGACTGCTGGGAAGATGCAAAGAGGAAGAGGGAGAGAGGGAGAGAGAGAGAGAGAGAGAGCGAGAGAGAGAGAGGGAGAGGGAGAGGCAGAGCGAGACAGAGAGAAGAGAGAGAGAGAGAGACAGGCACAGACACAGACACGGACACGGACACGGACACGGGGGGAGGGAGAAAATGGAGGAACGCCACGGCACCCGGGCCTCTCCGCACTTCAGGTGCAGCAGCTCTATCTCCGCCGGCTCGACGTCCTCGGGCGCGGAGAGGCGGAGGGCCACCCAGCCTTCTTGGGGGTGCACCTCCCTGCGGGATCGAGCCTCCCCCTGCCCTCGAAAAAAACATGCTCGCGCCGAGAAAAATCACGTCAAAACGTGCTCGACAGTTTTCGGCTCCCGGTGGCCCTCGCCAGGCCTGGGCCCGTCAAAAGCCAGCTCGAGGTACAGAACCGGCCCTGGGAACAGGGTCGGAACTTCCGGGGACCCTATACAGAAACAGAACAAAAACAACAACAAATCAGCACAAAACCAAACACAACAACACAAAACAACACAAAACAAAAAACAACAACAAAAAACAACAACAACAACAACAACAACAACAACAACAACAACAACAACAACAACAACAACAACAACAACAACAACAATTACTAGCACGTGGGGACACTCCGTTCTCACCAGTGCCAGGGTTTTCATAGGAGGCGGGCAATACCCCCACTTTGTGGGGGGGCCGGTTCAAGCTCTACCAAATTTCCAAACGACTCTTCGCCACCACCCACACCCAGCTTCCCGCCCTATGACGTTCGGACACTTCACTTCGTGGCATGCGGACGACCGTGGCTACTATTCAGGGCCCCGCGGCCGACGACGACGGCGTGCGCGCGCGAAGAAAAAACGAATGTGTCCCGCATGGTATTATTTGACAGGGATGATGGCCCTGGCAGGTGCGCAACCGTTGTTGCAGAAGTTCGAAAAAGTTGCTCGCAAAAGCCCGTTTGACAGAAATGTTTAAAAAGTGTTGGGTTTCCTACGAATCCGCAAGAGCGCGCGGGATGAGATTTTGACATTTTTTTGTTGAAAAACCATTGGTTTTTTGATGTTTTTATGTTAAAATCGCTGCGAACACTAAGGTTTTGGAAGGATTTCGTCTTGCGCGCGCGAATGTCCACTTTACCTTATTTTTTGCAAGGGATTCTTGAAATTTGATTATATTAGAACAAGAAATGTCATTTTCTATTGTTTTTTGCAAGGGAAAGCGGATTACAACAAAACAACCGGATCCTGTACACACCCTCTTTTCTGAGGCTTCCTCACGAAAATGATGAAAATGTAGCTGCGGCCTAGGCGGCGCAGGGGGGGCGCGCACCAGGGGGCCCAACAATAATTATTCTTTAGAATAAATAATGTTCAACAACAGCAGCAGCAGCAGCAGCAACAACAACAACAACAGCAGCAGCAGCAGCAACAACAACAACAACAACAACCACAACCACAGCCACAACCACAGCCACAACAACAACCACAACAACAACCACAACAACAACAATAACAACAACAACAACAACAACAACAACAACAACAACAACAACAACAACAACAACAACAGCAACAACAATTGCAACAGTAACCACAATAATAACAACAACAACAACAACAGCAACAATCATACATCAGCAACAACAACAGCAGCAACAACAAGAACAACAACAACAACAATCATTTTACCCGAACGCGTGGTGTTCTCCCCAGTGCCAGGGTTTTCATACGACACCAGGCAATACCCCCACTTCGTGGGGGGGCATTACAAGCTCTACCAAATATCCAAACGACTCTTCGCGACCACCCAAACCCAGCTTCCCGCCCTATGACGTTGGGACACTTCACTTCGTGGCGTGCGGACGACCGTGGCTACTACACTGGCGTGGGGTACACACCCACAGAACTTGGTCACTTATTCGGGGCGCGCATGTGCCCAGCATGGTGCAATTGTGCCATGCTGGGCACATGCGCGGATGGTATTATTTGACAGGGATGATGGCCCTGGCAGGTGCGCAACCGTTGTCGCAGAAGTTCGAAAAAGTTGCTCGCAAAAGCCCGTTTGACAGAAATGTTTAAAAAGTGTTGGGTTTCCTACGAATCCGCAAGAGCGCGCGGGATGAGATTTTGACATTTTTTTGTTGAAAAACCATTGGTTTTTTGATGTTTTTATGTTAAAATCGCTCCGAACACTAAGCTTTTGGAAGGATTTCGTCTTGCGCGCGCGAATGTCCACTTTACCTTATTTTTTGCAAGGGATTCTTGAAATTTGATTATATTAGAACAAGAAATGTCATTTTATAGTGTTTTTTGCAAGGGAAAGCGGGGGGGAACAAAACAACCGGATCTTGATCACATCGAATTACCTGAGGCTTCCTCACGAAAATGATGAAAATGTAGCTGCGGCCTAGGCGGCGCAGGGGGGCGTGCACCAGGGGTCCCAACAATAATTATTCTTTAGAATTAATAATGTTCAACAACAACAACAACAACAACAACAACAACAACAACAACAACAACAACAACAACAACAACAACAACAACAACAATCATTTTACCCGAACGCGTGGTGTTCTCCCCAGTGCCAGGGTTTTCATACGACACCAGGCAATACCCCCACTTCGTGGGGGGGCATTACAAGCTCTACCAAATATCCAAACGACTCTTCGCGACCACCCAAACCCAGCTTCCCGCCCTATGACGTTGGGACACTTCACTTCGTGGCGTGCGGACGACCGTGGCTACTACACTGGCGTGGGGTACACAGCGCGCGCGGGTGGAAATTTTGAAAAGTCGTGCAGGTGTTTTTCGAGGACCTACGGTGCGATTCGTGTGATTTTATGATGCGCGGTGCTAAAATTCTTAAGAACCCAATGGTTTTTGGAGATTTCGGCGTGCGCGCGCGAAGAAAAAACGAATGTGTCCCGCATGGTATTATTTGACAGGGATGATGGCCCTGGCAGGTGCGCAACCGTTGTCGCAGAAGTTCGAAAAAGTTGCTCGCAAAAGCCCGTTTGACAGAAATGTTTAAAAAGTGTTGGGTTTCCTACGAATCCGCAAGAGCGCGCGGGATGAGATTTTGACATTTTTTTGTTGAAAAACCATTGGTTTTTTGATGTTTTTATGTTAAAATCGCTCCGAACACTAAGCTTTTGGAAGGATTTCGTCTTGCGCGCGCGAATGTCCACTTTACCTTATTTTTTGCAAGGGATTCTTGAAATTTGATTATATTAGAACAAGAAATGTCATTTTATAGTGTTTTTTGCAAGGGAAAGCGGGGGGGAACAAAACAACCGGATCTGGACACCATCGTTTTACCTGAGGCTTCCTCACGAAAATGATGAAAATGTAGCTGCGGCCTAGGCGCGGCGGGGGGGGCGCGCACCAGGGGGCCCAACAATAATTATTCTTTAGAATTAATAATGTTCAACAACGCATGTAAGATCCCTTCCCCACCCCCCATCATGGGTTCCCCCTCCCCATCGCGGATCCTACTTGTCAGGCGGGTGCGCCGGAGTAGCGGGTGGAGAGGGGATCGGGCTGGCCGAACTCGATATCGGATCGGTTCCGTCGGATCGAAACGAGCCCTTAGAGGCCGAGAAAGACGGGGGGAGGCCAAGCGCGCAGGCAGCGCCAGGGGCGCTCCCCCCTCAGCCCAAATAAGAGAACAACAACAGATACAGTCAAAAACCCTAACAAGGACGCGCGGTAAGGACGCAAGACCCTTGGAAGCCGAAGTTGGGATCTTTGGGGCGGCGGACGACGAAAACCCCAAGGACGCCAGAGCAAGGAAGAGCAAGGGCGCAAGGGTACCCTGAGCAAAGTCGCGCGTCCTTATTAGGGTTTTTGACTGTAGGAGAACAACCACAGATAGGCCGTTCCGCCCCGACCCTTCCTGACACTGCCCTGGCTGCTCCCTTGAGATACACCTGCCGACCGATGAGGGAGGGCAGAGAGCAAGGAGCTGGGAGCTGGGGAGAGAGCGTGATTGAGCGAGCGTGGCGGAGGAAGAGGGCGAGAGAGAGTGAGGGAGAGAAAAAAGAGAGATATAGATAGAGAGAGAGAGAGACAGAAGCAATAATTACAAAGGGAAGGAAAGAGAAAGACAGAAAGAGAGAGAGAGAGAGAGAGCTGGAGCCGGCGGCAGTGGCGGGGCTGTTGCCAGCCGCCGTGGCGCTTGCGCCTCGGAGGTCGGGATGCGCACCAGCGCCAGCGCAGTGCGGAAGGCCCGCGCGTCGTGGAGCGGGTCGGTTTTCACCGGCGAGCGGTTTCGCCAGCGGTCGATTTCGCCCGTTCTGTTTCGCCCACGATCGGTTTGCCAGGCGGTCGGCTTGGCGCGTTCGGTGTCGCCCGCGGTCGGTTTCGCCCGCGCGGTACGGGCAGCCGTCGGGCCCTGCGCGGTACGGCCGAGCTGTGACACCATCCCCACGAGGGGCAGCGTCGCTGCGGGCCCGCAGGTGTCGGGAGCTCTCGGCCTCGTCGGCCACTCATGTCGACGTCGGCATGCATGATCCTCATGCTCGTGCCCGTCCTCCTTCTCCTCCTCCTCCTCCTCCTCCTCCTCCTCCTCCTCCTCCTCCTCCTCCTCCTCCTCCTCCTCCTCCTCTCCTCCTCCGGCTCCCCCTCCTCCTCTTCCTCCCACTTCTGTTTATCATCCTCCCCATCCTGGGGGGGAGGGCTTCCTACTGGGGTGGCTCAGATTTCGGGCGGCGGTCGCCAGCGAAGCCCTGCATCGACACCGCCCATCGATGGTGGTCATCTCCGGCCTGCCGCCGCGAGCCTGTATTCTGTGGCCCTCCTCCCTGGACTGTGGCCATTTCGTTTCCCCTGTCCGTCGATGGCCCTCCCCGTCGAAACAACCCCCCTCTCTGTACGATCCGTCCACTGTCCGTCCGTTGTCATGTGGTCTTATGGTCCCATCTGGACCGCGGCGGTCCTCTTCTCTGGACTGTGACTGCAGGGAGATCTTCTTCCTGCGGCAACAGTTCTGGACAGCGTCCTTGAGGGCCTGGACTCTCAAAATCGACGCTGCCGCCTGGGTAGTGAAAATGAGAAAGAGCACGCAGCCGATGCCCCGCTTGAATGCCGACCCGTCGACGACCCTGGATGCCAATATTTATCATGCGAAGCCAGTTCTCCCCTGGTACACTGCACATGAAGAGCTACACTACTCCCTCGCAACAAATCACTGGCGCTGCGCATTTGCCATCTTGCCAGAGTGCACCCGCCCACGAGCCTTCAGACATGCTCAACTCTTCGACTCCCCGTGGTTACGACAAGCCAATAGCAGACCATGAAGATTCGAAAACCTCAGATCGAGATGTCGAACACCTTGTCAGCTACGAGAACTATGTTTTCTGTTCGGACAAGAACAAATTGATACATTCCACCTATTCGCAGATTGAGTGACGGGACAAAAAAACGCGCCTGAGCAAGTAGCTGCCAACGAAGTAGACTAGATTCCACACCGTCGCGACGAGGACGCAGAAGCGCCACGGGACCAGCTCTCTCAGGTGCCAGGCGATAGCCGGACAAACCACAGCAATGTGGATCATAATGAAGGGAATGCCTGCCGCTATGCCTCAAAGGAGAGTGGGGGAGAAACGACGGTTTAACAATCAGGAGAATCGGCTCTTGATTAAACATGATCGACCCGCGAACCCGGAAAGGAATATAGAGCTGTAACGCATGGCAACGTTTTCCAAGACACCTGATTGGGTGACGGGCACATGCAATGCTGAGTGTATCGATCTTGATGTACCCTGCCGAGGGCTGTGCTGTGCTGCACCGTGCTGAACTGCGATGTGCCATGCCGCGATTGTGCTCTATAGCGTCGTGGATCGAGTCCAACTTTGCATCCAAGTCCTGACCGAACTGATCTGGACCTTAAGCTCAAGCTGCCCGAGCACATAGTAGCTGCCCCAGAGCTAATTGACAGGGGAACATGCCAGGAGGACGCGCCGCGAAACGTCTCAAGGGACGCGCCAGGCGACGTGCCAGGGGACGTGCCATGGGGTCACACCGCGGGACGTGCCAAGGGGACGCGCTACGGAACGTGCCAACGGATGTGCCACGGGATGTGCCAGGGGATGCGCCACGCGACGTGTCAGGGGGATTCGCCAAGGGACGCCCCACGGAACGTGCAAAGGAACGTGCCAAGTTGCAATGCTGATTGTATCGATCTTGATGTACCGTGCCGAGGGCTGTGCTGTGCTGCACCGTGCTGAATTGCGATGTGCCATGACGCGATTGTGCTCTATAGCGTCGTGGATCGAGTCCAACTTTGCATCCGAGTCCTGACCGAACTGATCTGGACCTTAAGCTCGAGCTGCCTGAACACATCGTAGCTGCCCCAGAGCTAATTGACAGGGGGACATGCCAGGAGGACTCGCCGCGGAACGTCTCAAGGGACGCGCCAAGCGACGTGCCAGGGGACGTGTCATGGGGACGCACCGCGGGACGTGCCAAGGGGACGCGCTACGGAACGTGCTGGGGACAAGCGTTTCGCTCGAGACATCCTGCCAAAATCCAAAGAAATCCTGGAACAATAAACGACTTAGTCGAGACATCCTCGAAATTCCTGCGCGCGGGACGTTGCACGCGCGAGACATCCTCGGAATCCCTGCGCGCCGGACGTGAAAACAACCATTTCGCTTGAGACATCCTCTGAATTCCGGCCCCCCACGAGGCCCTCGCTCGAGACACCCCCCAATTTTGCAAAACAGTATATATATATATATATATACATATATATTTAATTTCTTTTTTTAACAACAAAAAAAACAAAAAAAACAAAAAAAAAAAAAAAAAAAAAAAAAAAAAAAAAAAAAAAAAAAAAAAAAAAAAAAAAAAAAAAAAAAAAAAAAAAAACGTTTCGCTCGAGACATCCTCGCAAAATCGAAAGAAATCTTGGAAAAATAAACCACTTAGTCGAGACATCCTCGAAATTCCTGCGCGTGGGACGCGGCACGTGCGAGACATCCTCGGAATTCCTGCGAGCGGGACGTGAAAACAACCATTTCGCTTGAGACATCCTTTGAATTCTGGCCCCCCACGAGGCCCCCGCTCGAGACACCCCAATTATGAAAAACAAGCGTTTCGCTCGAGACAGCCTGGCAAAATCCAAGGAAATCCAGGAACAATAAACGGCTTAGTCGAGACATCCTCGAAATTCCTGCGCGCGGGACGCGCCACGTGCGAGACATCCTCGGAATTCCTACGAGCAGGACGTGAAAACAAGCATGTCGCCTGAGACATCCTCTGAATTCTGGCACCCCACGAGGCCCCCGCTCGAGACACCCCCCAATTTTGCAAAACCAGCGTTTCGCTCGAGACATCCTCAACAAATTATTCGTTTTGTATAACAACAAAACATGATCGACCCACGAACCCGGAAAGGAATATAGAGCTGTAACGCATGGCAACGTTTTCCAAGACACCTGATTGGGTGACGGGCAAGTGCAATGCTGATTGTATCGATCTTGATGTACCGTGCCGAGGGCTGTGCTGTGCTGCACCGTGCTGAATTGCGATGTGCCATGCCGCGGTTGTGCTCTATAGCGTCGTGGATCGAATTTCCCTTTGCATCCGAGTCCTGACCGAACTGATCTGGATCTGAAGCTCGAGCTGCCTGAACACATAGTAGCTGCCCCAGAGCTAATTGACAGGGGGACATGCCAGGAGGACGCGCCGCGAAACGTCCCAAGGGACGCGCCAGGCGACGTGCCAAGGGACGTGCCATGGGGTCGCACCGTAGGACGTGCCAAGGGGACGCGCTACGGGGCATCCTCAAAATTCCTGCGCGCGGGACGCGGCACGCGCGAGACATCCCCGGAATTCCTGCGAGCAGGACACGAAAACAAGCATTTCGCCTGAGACATCCTTTGAATTCTTGCCCCCCACGGAGGCCCCCGCTCGAGACATCCCAAAATTTTGCAAAACCAGCGTTTCGCTCGAGACATCCTCAACAAAGTATGGAAAAAAACAAGCGTTTCACTCGAGACATCCTACCAAAATTCTAAGACATCCTGGCAAAACATACAAATTAATCGAAACATATCCTCGAAATTCCTGTGCGCGGGACGCGGACCGCGCGAGACATCCTTGGAATTCCTGCGAGCGGGACACGAAAACAAGCATTTCGCCTGAGACATCCTCTGAATTCTGGCACCCCACGAGGCCCCCGCTCGAGACATCCCCAAATTTTGCAAAACCAGCGTTTCGCTCGAGACATCCTCAACAAATTATGATTACACTACACCCGCGCTCCCAGGGCCACGATCCCTCGTAAATTACGCTACGTCAGCGCTCCCAGGGCCACGATCCCTCGTAAGGGCTCCTGGGCCCTCCTGGGTCGTCCTTGGACCTCTTGGGCCCTCCTGGGCTCTCCTGGAGCCTCCTGGAGCTTCTCCTGGGCCCTCCTTGGGCCCCCTGCTGCCTCTTGAAGCCTCCTGGGTCCTCCTGGGCCCTCCTGGGCTCTCCTGGGCCCTCCTGGGCTCTACTGGGCTCTCCTGGAGCCTCCTGGGCCCTCCTGGGCGAAGTCAAGGTCCGAAAACACATGGGACTTGCCACATGTCTGAAATTCGGTGCCACCCCTCACGCAGGTCGGCGGGGTCAGGATCCGAAAACACAAGGGATTTGCCACATTTCTGGAATTCCGTGCCACCCCTCACGCAGATCGGCGGGGTCAGGGTCCAAAAACACAGGGGATTTGCCACATTTCTAGAATTCCGCGCCACCCCTCACGCAGATCGGCGGGGTCAGGGTCCAAAAACACAGGGGATTTGACACATATCTGGAATTCCGTGCCACACCTCACGCAGATCGGCGGGGTCAGGGTCAAAAAACACAGGGGATTTGTGCTATTTCCGAACTTATGCAACTTCAAGAATCCCAGAACTCCGTTCCCAGCGCCGTTCTGGAGGCCGCGGCACCTCGTTATTTATCGAGCGAACGCGTTTACCGCGTTTTTTATAGTTTAAAGTCGATGTCGGAAAAAAGTGGACTTCACCTGTGAAATATCTAGGTTTCCTTAAAGGCAGCAAAATTCCAAGAGCACGATCTGCGTGAGGGGTAACGAAAAATGGCCTTCGTCCTCACAATTGAAATCCGCCGGCCCCCTTCGACCTCGTAATTTATCGCACAAGAATTCCGCCGGCCCCCTTCAAGTAAAAACCGGGTGGTAAACCCACTAAAAGAAAACCCTGGGCCCACGCCCTTTCCGGGAAACCAAAAAAACATTTCGCTCGAGACAACCTGGCAAAATCCAAGGAAATCCTGGAACAATAAACAACTTAGTCGAGACATCCTCGAAATTCCTGCGCGCGGGACGTGGCACGCGCGAGACATCCTCGGAATTCCTACGAGCGGGACGTGAAAACAAGCATGTCGCCTGAGACATCCTTTGAATTCTGGCACCCCACGAGGCCCCCGCTCGAGACACCCCCCAATTTTGCACAGCCAGCGTTTCGCTCGAGACATCCTCAACAAATTATAAAAAACAAACGTTTCGCTCGAGACAGCCTCGCAAAATCCAAGGAAATCCTGGAAAAATATACGAATTAGTCGAGACATCCTCGAAATTCCTGCGCGCGGGACGCGGCACGTTCGAGACATCCTCGGAATTCCTGCGCGCGGTGCGCTTTTCCGCGTCGCGGTCGGGGCTCCAGACCTCGATTCGTTTCGAAGATTCTGCTAAAAGTGCCCCGCACCATCCTTTTCACAAAGGAAAGCGATTGTCCGCGGACCCCGCTATTTATCGAGGATCCGAGATGGGAGGTCGACTTTCCTCGAGCGGGCACGCGCGAAACGCATTTTTGACGCCGAATTAAAACTTTACCTCGTTTTTATCGAAAATAATTCCGCCGGCCCTCTTCCAGGAGGGAATAAATTAACTAAAAGAGAACCCTGGGCCTATGCCCTCTCTGGGAAAATCCATCCAAACTATATGTTGGACAGAATTCCCGCGGTCGAGAAGTCCTCGTTTTACGGATGGCAGCGGCCATGATTGTATATCTCTCGGGGTGCCGCCATTGATCAATTATGTTTTCGGCGCTCGGGTGTTCTTTGGTTTCGCGGCCATGGCAGCTTCCTGGACACCGCACAATAAACTGTCCTGAAACCACCTGAAGCTCTTGCACGTGCGCGTTTCAAGCGGCGCTGTTCTGTGTCCAGGCGGCCGAAGACCCAACGCTTCCCCCAGCTGCCTGTGATCGAGGGTCCCTCCAAATATGAAACCTCCTTGGAGACCAGCCGAGGAACCAATGAAACACGGTCACGCCAGTTCATGTCGGGGGGGGGGAGGGGCATCTCTCCAACCTGGGCGCAGGAAAGGTTCTTTGACCCGGTCGCGCACTGCGGAGGAGAGCCAGTGGAGACAAAGGCGGCTCTCCCGCCCGGTCCGAATCCGCTCAAAATCTGGCCTGGATTCCGAATTCCCCCCCCCCAGGGTCCATCCTGACCCCTTGACCCGCGCGGGTCCTGCCGTGGCGACGAGAAGCCTCCGAGAGCTCCAAGAAGGGCGGGGGTGCTGGGAGGGCCGCCGTTGTCTCGACTGGCCCCCCTACGCACAGTACCTTCGAC